GCTCCCCGCGGCACGGCCTGGGGGCCGGCGCCAGACAGCTGCCGGGAGCCTTCGCGGGCGCGGAGGGTGTCGGCGCGGCTGATCCCCTCCCCGGGCGCGCCGGCATCCCCCGCCGGCCCCAGGTCTGGGTACATTTGGCACCTTCCAAGGAGGAAAAGGAAGGAGGCTGGCAATCCGAGCGGGGCGCGAGGACTGTGTTCGGGCACCAGGTGAGACGCTTGGTTCAGCCGGTGGAGTTAGGACGCTTGCCGATCTGCCACTGAATGTGGCACCAGGGGCTGGCATTCGAGGTCACCACAAACGAGCGGAATGGCTTTCTCCCTGGGCTGACCCCGTAGCGTTTGAAACTTGGAAACGTGGTGCCCGCTTCCTGCCCCGGAGACCGCTTCCTGCCCCGGAGACGCCTCCCTGCACTGTGGGCACTAGTAGTCCTTGCTGTGGCAGAAGAAAATGTAGCGTCCGCGTAAAAGAGGAAAAGTGAGGCTGGCATTTTCCTTCTGCGCTGCCCTCCCTGTGGCCGTAAGTTGGTCTGCTTTTGATGAATGGCCCAGGGTGGAGGACAGTTACATTTCCTGTTGTGGATTTTCAGGAATCACTAAGGTTGCCATCTAGCCTGCAGTCATTTATTAGTTTTCAGATGACTGCAAGTAACATTTCAATTTAGCAGCCTGTACTGTCTGGTGCTTAGGAGCAGGTGCGGACAGACGGGGGTCTTGGAACTAACTGCGAGTGAAACATGGACGTTTCTGAAGTTGGAAGCCAGTCCCTCAGCAGGGCCCCAGGCGTGACCCTATTTAACTTCCTGGAACACACAGATTCAGAATTCTCTGGTTTCCCAACCTAATTTCTTTCTTTTTGTGTGTGTGGGAGGGTGGTCGGTAAGGGGAGAAGGGAAAAAATGGGTACCTAAAAAAGTACTGAAAAAACTTTTCTTAGATAGTTTCAGCAGATGACTTGTATTGGCGTCTCCCAGAGCAACCTTGGACCGTCTATTGCCTGATGTGACGAAGTCTGGAATTTCACTGAAATTAGTGAATGATTATAATTTATAACTTAGTCTGCTGTGTAAGAAGTTAGATTTTGGCCTCTCAGATCCGTAAGTTCTTCTCCGTTATGATTTGTAAGTGCTTCTTTACACTGAACATTTATATATTTCACCCTGGGTGAGTTGCATTTTTTTCCAGTCGATCTTCAAAAGTTAGAAATAATGTTCCACATATTTTAGACTTAGTTACCTGTAAAAATGTCAACATACTCGAAAGTAAGGGGTGGTAGTGAAACTGGAAGCAAATTATGGCAAACAAATGGTTGTCATAAAGTCTTGACAGTGTTATGAGCTATAGCCCTACTTTTCTCTTACCTCACCTCTTAAAATACTTTATTTAATATGCCAGAGCTAGTTAAAGATGTATAAACTCAGTGGTGGAAAATTTGAAACTTTGAAGGTTCAGTATTGCATGTATATTGATTTTTCTCATATTACCAAGGGCATTACATTTTTATTCTTAACATTGTCTGGTAAAAACTCTGTTGTTTTTAGAGCATTTTCACATAATTTCCTTTTGATAGTGCACAGACCACTGGATTCTATATTCAGTATCTGGGTCATGCTTCCCTTATCTGCCTTCTACTAAAATGAGCGCTTCAGGAAATTATTTCTACATTTAATAAACATGTGTAGAATATTTATTATGCACTCAGACACTTGCTAAGTAGTGTAGATCCCCTGAAAAATCAAAAAGCACATTTGCTCTGTACAGAGGATTCATTCTGCTTTGTGAGCTGACAACAAAAAATAGAGTAGTTATCTTTTGGGATCAGTTCTATGGAACTTAATAACTATGCAGGTAGGGCTGTTTCCAGGAACAAATGGTACACTGTATATGAAAAAACCATTTGGGTAAATTATAGCAACCACAAATGTGGAAGGCATTAACTTTCAAAATTCTATCAGATTATTATTCAAGTATAAAAAAAAGATGGAATCACAAGTGGATCAGATAATTGACTTTTTTGTATAGAATTTCTAGCAAGAAAAATTTTTAATTTTTCTAGAAGTGTATAAATAATGCTAAGAACTAAACCTAGGATAACTGCTATGTATAAAGTACTAGGGAAATGTGTAACAATGAAATATAATGTTAGTGAAATTTTTCTTTCTGGCAAAAGAAAAGTTGAGAGGTATCCATGGAGACCAAATATATGGGAATAACAGTGATTGGGCCAGCGTGGTTTTCCCTCTTTGTATCAGTAAAACATCTTTACAGGCCTCACTGTGTTTTGTCTGAGTTTTCTTGTGTCACACTGTTCAATTTAGTGCCTGTTACTACAGATGTGTACTTAAACAATTTCAGTATTTTGTGATACCATCTTTTTAAGGGACTTTCAGTTAACTTATTAACTACTGACCAAGTGTCTAACAATATATATGATAAATGTGAAAATATAGTGTGTATTTAGACTTACTATAAAATACTATATAAAATAAAATGCTATGAAATATCACCTATTCATAATAAAAGTAATTTCCATCTGTGTGGGATACCAAGTTCCTTCCCACACTGGGGTAGGAGGACAGGACTGCCTGCCTCTGTCTGCCCCACTTGTGCCCTGCTTTAGGCCTGAGTTGGATCACTGCTTGGTATAGAATGTCAGCTTTAAGGTGTAATCGGCCAAGTTGAATAGCTCTTATGGTGGGTGTGGCTGATAGTGAAAGAAGGGAGTGAGAATGTTTGGTTAGACTTTGATTTGTCCACAAAGAATGATAAATTAACCGTAGGAAACAGAATTAAACCTGAAACCAATCTATATTTAATAAAGTACCAAAGAAAACACACAGGAAACCAGTGCCCCATGGTGCTGATGGAGGCTGGGCATAAGGTTGTTCCGAGGACTCCTAGCCCTCTCCTGACTCAGAGTGAAGAGCAGGCTTGCGATCTTTAGCATTTTTACCTTTAGGGATTCCCTTAAAAATGACCCCACCCCCACGCCCATCCACTGCATCTTTTTGACAAGCTATTTCTTAAACAAATAGGTTATCTAACTAAAGCTTCCTAAGAAGCATTCATGGGACACTGTATATTATGTCTTTCAGTTAGAAAGAACTTGTGGTCTGCTTGAGAAAACTAGTATCATCAAGTCAAGCTAATCTTATTCTAGCAACTGTGAAGAACCTTGGTATGTTAGAGCAAAACAGAATTCACAGTAGATAAACACAATCCTTAAAACTTTCTGAGATACTGAAACCAGGAGGACCTTTCCCCAGAACCCCAAATTTTGTTGGGTATCCAGAGACCCCATGCAAACATTTTACATGAGGAATAACTACATAAATACAGTAGCACATGCAGTGAGTGTGGTCATGGAACCTAGACACCATGCTGTCATGCATTTATTAAATGTTTATTAGCAAGCAGCTGTGGACAAGGCTCTGTAGTAGTGGAAGGTACAAGAACTCAAAAGCATGGAGTCTACTTTTATTGCTTTGGTTAACTTTCTAGTCACTTCCCCCTTTGGGACCTTAGTGGCTCTGTGGCCCTGTCCTGTCATCCTTAGGTGATCAGAGGTATATGTGTTATGAGAATGGTTTAGGGAGAGAACTTACGGAAACCAATCAGGACCCTTCGAATTTGAGGCTGTTTGCAGCCCCTTCCTCTCCCCTCCACTCCTCCACCAAGCAAGCCACTTATTCCCTATTGTGTCAGGTTCCTGACATCTCCCTCAGGTGTGTGGGCTAGAGCAAGATGGAGAACCAGTGAGTGAGTCAGAGATCTCCCCCTAGGGCCAAATCTGTGATCTGTGGTTGGCTCTGAGACCAGGCTATCCAGGAAAGCAAGCAGATGGAACTTCTTTCCACCTTGCCACATTTTAACCAGTGCTTTGAATAGAGGAGCCTGTGGTTACTCTCTGTTGGCTCTGTTCATGTTGATCTTGCTGGGCATACAAAAATCGTACAAAAATTTATGCTGTCGATATAGTACTTGGAATTTTCTGTCTGTCTGCCTTTCTTTCTTTCTTTCTTTCTTTCTTTCTTTCTTTCTTTCTTTCTTTCTTTCTTTCTTTCTGGTACTGGAAATTGAACCTAGACCATGATACATGGCAGATAAGCACTCCTGCACTGAGCTATACTCCCTGCTCTGAGTTTTTCCTTATTTTATTTTTTTTTAATACAGGCTCTGGCTTTATAGTTCAGGCTGACCTTAACTCACCATGTAGCCCAGGCTGGCTTTGAACTGAGGTGATCCTTCTGCCTCAAACTCTCAAGTGTTGGAATTACAGATATTGACACCATGCTTAACGATTTCTTTTTTAGTATTTTATTTTTAAGAGGAGAGAAGGATTTTGTTTTATGGACCCCTCTCTTTGTTCAGAAAGGCTTAAGAGTTATGCATTTGCTGTTTTGCTTTGTTTGGGCTTATAGTCTCTTAGCAGCTTAGTATTTGGCTTCTGTAACAATAAAGAACTAGAGTCAAGAGAAGACTGTCTCCATGTGAGAAGAGAAGGCTCATGGTCTTTCTGATGATGGGCTCTAATCACTTTCATCTCAAGGGCAATTTAATTCAACAGAAATCTTAATTTAGAGTTTTGTATGCTAAAAGCCCATGCAGTTTTCATTAAACATTTTGAGAGTTAACTATATAACTTACTATATAATTTTCATAAATAATTTCTTTTCAAGCATCTTCAGCAATCTGTAGTGATCTGTAACAGCATTTGCTATTTGCACACTTGGTGTGATCAAAGGGAAATAAACTCTCATATTAATTTGTCTTTATCAAGTGTCAGGTTTTTGGAGGAACCAAGAAAGAACTTTATAGTTAAAAGACAGACATTGTCATGACCCCATGAGCTTAGAATCCTACTGGCATTCCCTTTTGGAGAGGATGATATTTTGAGTGAGCAGGAACTGCATACAAATTGCTTTATTTCAAATAATATCTAGCATGTTGTTTCTGAAAGAATTATTTTTCCTCCTTAACCTAGATTTATTGAAGAAGAAGAGTTACAGGGGTGAGAAGAAAGCGTCTTAACACCTTGATGTGGTGTTAGTGGAGTAGTAGAGTAAGCGTGAGAGGCATTTGGAAAGAGAAAGTTGGCAGATGAGGTAATTAACAAAAGAAAGGAAGGTACAGTGAAATAGCGGCTCTGGCATTCCTGAGAATAAGAGAGAAAAGAATCTGGCAAGTAGATTTTCTGTCTTTGCACAGGTATCTTTGAAACAGTTTTGGAGGTGAAGGGGGCAAGCTGGTAGTTAATGAAATATAACTCAGTGACCAGTTGACAGAGTGGTGGGTCCTGTGCTTTTTGATCTTGGGGTTACTTTGTGTCCTGGAATGTTGAAGTCTGATGGAAAAACTAAGTATCTAATTTTCGTGGTACGTTTATCAGACTATAAGAGGTACATATGGGGCCAGGAAAATAGAATGGACCAGTTCTCTGCTTTTCTAAAGAATAAATGGCACAAATTAAGATTGAACTTTGAATACTCTGCTGGGTACTGCCATTACAGTATTTGGAAA